GAGACAGAGACGGAGAGAGAGAGAGAGAGAGAAAGAGAGAGAGAGAGAGAGATTGAGGGAGCAGCGACGCCTGTGAAATCTCGAGGCGTGCGACGTAAAGGGGCACCACACCTTTCGATGCCACTTGTATGTTGAGGGTCTCTGGTATGATAATCCCAGAAACCATGTGATTGACTTGGCGTTGCTGGGTTTGTGGGATGACATCCTCCGACGAAAATCCACGCTGCAGCCCTCCAGGCCTCCGAACCCCAGAAATCGCAAACATCGCAAACATCCAAGTCAACACGCATGGTTTCTGGGAGTCTCGTGCCAGAAAGCAAGACCAACGCATAAGATCACAGAGTTTGGCACCCCTTATTTTGCAGACCACCTGGCTTCACAGGGATCGTTGCTCTCTCGAGTCTCCCCCTCTCTCTCCCTGTCTCTCTCTCTCTCTCTCTCCCTCTGCCTCTGCCTCACCGGCAGAGGGCAGAGAGATAACGAGAGAGAGAGAGAGAGAACGAAAGAGGGATAGAGAGAGAGAGGAGGCAAGAGAGGGCAGCAACCCCTGCGGCATTGCGAGGTATGCGAAGTAAAGGGGCAACGAACCCTGTGATGCCATTCGTCTGCTTTGGAGTTCTGCCAGGGGAATCCCAGACACCATGTGGTGCCCTTCTGGGCGTTGCACCCTCCGGCGACAATCCACGCTGCAGCCCTCCAGAGCCCTGAACCCCAGAAGTCCCCAAGGTCCAACGAATCAAAATGGAAGGGCTTCTGGGATTCTCATACAGTAGGCGTCTTGAAGAAGGAACCCTTTTCGTTGGGGAGGGGCTTGGTGTTCCTTGATTGTTTCAAAGTTTGCCTCGGGTATTCCTGAGGTTTTCCATCGGAAGTCGAGGTTGAACTTATGGGAAAAAGGGGCCTCGTTCCTTATTTAGGGTTCCTTAGGTCAACGCCCCGACTGTACCAGAAATCCCCCACATCCAAGAGCCACCGCGGGGTTTTTGCGCCCCTCCACCCTCGCTCCCCGGGTGACCTCACGAGCGTCCATGCGCCATCGAGTCTGTCTCCGTCTTCTCTCTCTGTCTCTTTGCTGACTCTTTGCCTGTCTGCCCCATCGGAAGAGGAGGAGGAGGAAGTGATGGCGAACGAACAACACACACCCATACCCATAGGGAGGTCGTTGGGAGGAGGACTGGCTATGGGTATGGGTGCGGGTTGTCGGACCCTGGGGAGCGCTCCCGTTCGAGCGGGGACCCCCATCCGACAACACGCACCCATGGCCCTCTCCGATCCCCCTATGGGTATGGGTGTGTGTTGTTGGTTCGTCAAGTGAGGGAACGCGCGCACAGGAAGAGGAACACATACCACCATCAAAGAAAATTATACGATCAGTGGGTGCTGGGGGGGGTGTTGCCTACATATATAGTTAGATCGATATTCTAAGGCTTGGTTGTGAGGTATTCTGGGATAAGAGTCATTGGCTCGTGGTCAGTGGTTTCCCGAGCTCGGTCGGGATGGAGACACGCTCGAATTTTCAGTTCTCTCGGTTTTGGCTTCGCTCGGTTGGAAGGCGCTCGGTCGATGCCTGGTCGCCGCCTGAGACACCGGATCCAGTCGCCGAGGACAGGACTCGTTCGGATGATAGCTCGCTCGGGGTGAAAAAACTCGTCCGGGGTTTGATTCGCTCGCTCCGTTTGCATGCGCTCGGTCGCCGCTTGGGGTGAAAACTCGCGCGCATGCCGCTTGGGGTGAAAACTCGCTCGCATTTGAAGTCGCTCGGTTTCATTTCGCTCGGTGTGTTGTTTCGATTGGTCGATGTACGAGGAAGCAGAATGGAAGGATGGGAGGGATGGGGGAACCAGAGTAGCTCGAAAGCATCCGGATGAAGAGTCGAGTGAGGATGGAGGGAGAGAGAGAGAGAGAGAGTAAGGTAAGAAGCAGCGAGGGAGAGGACGGGAGGAGAAAACGATGAGTGGAGGGGAGATGTCGGAAGAGGAATTGAGAAAGAGGAGGATCGGAGGGGAGGAGGGAAGGGGATGCGGGAGGAGGAAGGCATGAGGGAAGGGCACCATCGCTCTGCTATACTGGATCCCCCAGGCCCAGTAACCTGTGATCTGCGACGGCCACACGCATTGGTGCACACGTGGAGCACCCAGGCCGCCTGCATAAGCAGGCATCCTCACCTCGGGCAAGGTAACTAAACAGGAGTATCGAAATGGAGCGTTCATCGTGTGGCGTAAGAAGAAGTGCTTGTATGAACCTATGAGGAGGGGTCTTGGGACGGGAGGGTGTATAGCAGCACCGTTGATACATCCAGGGTCCCTTGTGGTCCTCCTCCTCCTCCTTCCCCGTCCTCCTCCCCCCCGCGCGCCCAATACTTTTTTGGCGAGATGTGGAGCGCATGTCATCGCTTCGTCGATGCTTCAAAAACTGGTGGCCATGCTTGACCACGCACCCACGTTAACAGGCAGTGGCATGAAAATGCTTGGGGGCTAGCGGAATCGCACAGGTTTTTACGGGTTCAATCCACCCGACTTTCTGAGGGGCGAGCGCGGCATGTGCGAACGGGGGGTGAGACGCGCAACCCAGGGGATGAACATGATGGTGACGACAATGGGAACGATAATGAAGGGGTGTGAAGTTACGCTACCGCCGTCTTGGGTTGCGGTTGGTCTACTTTGGCTTGTTTGCTGAGGAAATGTTGGCGGAGGTTGTCGGTCTGGGATGCAGTAGCCTGGGCAGAACCGCAATGCAGACAGGTGTGCCGATGGCGGTGATGATGATTGTATGCACTTGAATGAATTATGGGTCGTGTGTTTGGAGTGTCAGTGGTGAGCACGGCGAGGATAGTTTTGGTGGATACGATGGTGGTAGTGAGAAAGGCATGCTGATGAAGAGGGGATGCGATAATGATGTTTTGTGTGCGAGGCTGGGTGAATGATCAGGTGGAAGGACGGGGTGCGTGGTGATGGGTATGAATGTGTGCATGGTGGCAATCCTGGTGATGGTAATTGTGAAAGTAGTGAAGAGAGTGAACATGAAACAAGGCAGACTGGCGGTGATGGAGGTGGTGTGTGAGTGATAGAATGAATGAACGGTCGTGCGTGGTCAGTGCGTGAGTGGTGTTCACAGCGATGAAGAGGTGGATAGTGAGGGTGGTGATGGAGAGGAGCACGATGGTGAATAATCTGATTGTAATAACTATGTCGTGTGTGCGGAATGGAGCAAGTCATCGGGTGGAGTAAGTGTGGGACTGGTGATGATGGAGGACCACGTATTAGTACGATGATGGTAATGGTGGCGATGGAAGTATGACTAGGAAAATTATAGAAAAGGTGATGAAGCTGTTGGCGGTGATGGCGGTCCGTGTGGGTGTGCATAGGTTCCGGCACGGGGTGTCAAGGGGAAACGGAAACCAGAACACATGTAAGGAGAAGCGCTCCGAGGGATTTGGAGAAAAGCGTGTGAGTGGTGATGACGTAGGAACGGACGAGAAGGCAGAACGAATCAGGGTGGCAATTCCGTCGGGGGGAGGGTGTGTTGAGGGACGACGAAGAAACTGGCAACAGAAATGACTAACATTCGCGCGGGTTTGACTTCGTTCGGGTTGTAATTCGCTCGGGTTTGATTTCGTTCGGGTTTTAGTTCGCTCGGTTTTGGATTCGCTCGGACTTACATTCGCTCGGGTTTCAATTCGCTCGGGTTTAAATTCGTTCGGGTTTCAATTCGCTCGGGTTTTAATTCGCTCGGCTTGAAATTCGCTCGGGATTATATTCTCTCGGGTTTAAGTTCGCTCGGGCTGGAATTCGCTCGGGTATAATTTCTGTCGGGTTTGAATTCGCTCGGGTTTTACTTCGCTCGGGTTTAATCTCGCTCGGGTTAAATTCGCTCGGGTATAGTTTCGCTCGGGTGTACATTCGCCCGGGTTGAAAATCCGCTCGGGTTTAATTTCGCTCAGGTTCAAAATTCGCTCGAGTTTCAATTCACTCGGGTTCTGATTCGCTCGGATTTGAATTCGGCCGGTCGGTCGAATTTTTAAGATCGCTCGGGTTTAATTCGTTCGGTTTTCAAGTCGCTCGGTGGCAACACGCTCGGACGAACATCCGCGCGGGGGGGATCCGCTCAAGAACAATTACGCAACCGCAGTGCAAACCAGGCGAGACGAAGTCGAGCGAAACGAAACCGAGCGACAAACAACTAGCGAAACACAGCGAGCGAATCGAAACTGAACGAAAAACACTTCAAGCGAACAAAAACCACCGGAAACAACAACGAGCCAAAACAAAGTCCAGCGACAAAATCGGGCGAAACAAAATCGAACGAACAAAAACTAGCGAAACAAATGCGAGCGGAACAAACTCGAGTGACATAAAACGCCACCATCCGCACAACGTCATTGGCCGCTCTCCCTCGGAACGCTTCCTTGCAGTGGTTTGTCTGTAACGCCTGAGCACGGTTGATTATGCAATATGTTTAGTAGTCGCTTGTGATGGTGGAGAGTTTTCTCTTGGTTTCCATTCAACCAACTTTGATGTCGACGCTTGCATTTGGTTATCGGAACTTCTTGAAGGGGCCCTGAGACCCCGAAATCAGAATCAACGGTCAGACTTCAATTGTGGCGCGTGGGAGCAACCAGATCGATGATCGAAATCTCTAATCCGCCGACACTCGAGAATCATTCCAGTGACACTGGCAACAATAATCTCGTAACGCGCAGCCTGACGCTCCTTCCAGCCGCTTCGAGGTAACCAAATTTGTCGTCGAAGCATTATGTCTGATGGGGCCTCTTGGGGCAGGCTCTGGAGGAACAGAAAAAGAGAATTCCAGAACCTCGGATTGGGCGGCCCAGTATTTTTATACGTGGCAGCTTAATATTTGTGCATTTAGGCCGAAAGCCGTTCAAATGCGGCGGTCGGAAGCGGCCGAATCAGCGTCCCAGGTCTTGACAGTGGCTGGCAGCACCATTCCTCCGAGTTCTCCTTCCATCAGCCATTTTGGCTGCGAATCACATTCGCCGAATGGTCTACATGTCCTGTGTATCGCTGGCCTCTGTTTCATCGGCGAGAACTTCGAGGCCGCCGTCACCGCCCCCGCCCGGATTCGCGGACCCGTCCGGGCCGCCCCGGTCGCCGAGGATCAGTATCGTTGAACCTATACCCATTTTCATTGGTCAGGGTATCTGAGCCCCACCATCACACTCCTCCAGTCCAGGGATCGGCCTCTCGAAACCTGACCCATCTGGGGGGGAAATCGGACAGTGGGCCCAGGCCGCGCCAGTGGAGAGGGACTGGTTCAACGATGCTCAGAGGACGCCCTCGCCCGTCGTCCGCTGGTCCCCCCCCCGCACGCCCTCGCCGTTGGGTAGGCGCGCCGTCCTCCAGACGCCCCCGCGCGCGCCCGGGTGCTTCGGGCACTGCCCGCAGGGCCCGCAGTGCCGCGCCAAGGCGCAGGGGCTGCCGCGGTCGCCCTCGCCGCGCCGCGCCGCGCCGCGGTCGCCCCCGCGCACGGCCAGGGCCGCGCCCCGCGCGCTCTCGCGCACGCGCAGCAGCCCGGAGCCGGGCTACGCCACGCCCGTCGCCAAGGCTGAGCTCACCACGCCGCCCCCGGCCCCTCTGGCGCCCTGCGCCGCCTTGAAGGCCGAGATCGCCGCGGCGGTGCGCGAGCGCAGCGCCCTGGACCTGAAGCTGGCGCTGCACCGCGGCCACTGCTGCGCGGGCACGCAGTGGTGCTCCGAGGAGAGAGAAGCACGCCGACCCCTCGGCCTCCACCTGCCGCACCTTCCGCGCGGCATGTGCCGCCGCGGCGTGGCCGCGGCGGCCACCGAGGCCGCCGCTGCGGCCGCGACGAGCGCCTCCGCGGCGCGGCAACTGCCGTGCGGACGGTTCGGAAGGTGGAGGTCGAAGGTCAGGCGCTTCCTACGGTAGCACGACGGGTGCGCCGAACAAGGCAAGGACATCAGAGGGATACCGACGCCGCTTCCCCGTGCTCACACTCTCGGGCCCCTTCGGCGGGGGACCTCGCCGCCGCGGCTGGCTTCGCCTCGGGATCCAGGCCGGGGCGCGGCCCCCGCCTTCCTGTGCCCTGTCTCCCTACTCAAAGCTGTGCGCAGCCCGCCTAGCTTTCAGCGGAAGAGGTTCGCTCTCGCCCCGCAGATCAAGAGTGTGTCGGCATGCGGCGTCTCCCCCAGGTGCCGCGAGGCGCACCACGTCTCCGAGGCGGTGCGCCGGGGCCACTGCGGCACGCTGGAGGTGCTGCTGGAGGCGGGCTCCGAGGACGTGAACGAGGATCGGGGAAACGGAAGTCTCGAGTTCGCCAGAGCTCGGGCTCGCCGCCGCTTCTTGACGGCCCGTCCTGGACGCTGACGGTCCGGTTGTCGTGGGATGTTTGCAGCGGGAGCTCGCGCCAAATTTCAGACCTGGTCTCGTCCTGATTCCTGACGGCCCCGTCGGGCCAGCCCGAGCCCCCCGAACCCGAGCCTCGCGTCTCCCCGAGAGGAGTGCGGCGGCCGCACGCCCCTGCAGAGGGCCTGCGAGGCCTCCATGTTCGACGGGGACGCCGGGCACCGCATGGCGGAGCTGCTGCTGCGGCGCGGCGCCGACCCCTGCGGCCGCGGCGGCGCCCCCTGCGGGGGCCCGCCGCTGCACGAGGCCAGCGCGCGCGGCAGCCTCGCGGTGGTGCGGCTGCTGCTGCGGCACGGGGCCGACCCCTGCGCGCCGGGCGCGGGCGGCCTCGCGCCCCTCCACGCGGCCTGCCAGGCCTCCTCCTCCTCCTCTTCCTCCTCCTCCTCCTCCACCTCCTCCTCCTCCCAGGGCCTCCACCTTCCGTACTATCCGCGTGGTTGGTGAGTAAGGTTGCATTTTTTCATGTGAATTTCTTGAGTTATCATGAGGTTATTCGTGGTTTTCATGAGTAGCATGGTATCACACAGGGTTTCTTGGAGTTACATTCGTTTTGGGTACATCAGGCGAATGGTACGACCCACTATGTCTCAACTAAAACGCCCACCACCCACGTAAACCGAACCTGACACACCAAGCCCAAAGTAGTTAGATGTACACTGTTTTTCAAACTAGGAATTGCCCGAACGAGCACGAACCTACTTTTTCAATTAACGCTTCATCTTGCCCTAGCGTTAACCTCGCTTACCTCACGGACCCAACCGAACCAAACCTTCGTCATAAACAAGTCGCAGCCCTAATCCCAATCAGCATACCTTACAACACACCCCTGACCCAAACCGTAACACCACACCATATTCAATCGAAAATTCTCCCCCACACCGTTCAGCACCTTCAGCTCTGACCTAACACCCGCATGCTGGGGGGGGCGGCGAGGGGGGGTGTGGAAGCGCAAGCCTGGGCCATAGCAAGAAGGCGACGACGATTGGCACGCGCTGCAAGCCTAATCATAGGAGAACGCAGAGCTGAGAGGTTCGCTCAACGAGCAGGAACAGTATGCCGACAACCCTTGCGGGGCTCTTCGTACCATCTTAGGCTCTTTGATCATGTAGGCAACCAGGGCCGACGCTGAAGAATTCAACATCTAGGTTTCGCGACCCCCTGTCGTTGCGTAAGATGGCTGGAGGTTACAATTGAAGACACCATTACTCTGATGCTCGCGCATATATTGCGGGGCGGCGGCGGGTCGTCCGCACCAATGTTCATTTGTGTATTGATGTGGGTGATCCAGGTCGCGGTTTACCTGCGCCGTAAGTGACGCGGCAAAACAATGGTTTCATGCAGATATTCATACTTGCGTGGCCTGGCTTATATGACGATATGTTCCTGGTGCAATACTTACACATATCTACCTTCAGGAAGTATGATCCGATGTCCATGGTTGGTTTTCGGGGTTCGTGGTTGTCTCTGGGTGTCTTTAGACGTCCTCTGATTTCGGCGCCCCTGGATCGGTCAGCATATCCACACCCGTATGCCACCACGTGTTCTGTATGTTTGCTTGTGCGCGTGGATGTCCCTGAGTGTCCCGGGGACTCCTTAGATGCCGCTACGTATCTTTAGGGATCCGCGGGTGTCTCTGGGTACCCCCATGTGTCCTGGGATGTCTTTCAGTGTCCCTGTGTATCCATTTGTCTGCACATGTCCGTGGCTGTCCCCAGGTGTCCTTGGATGTCCTCAGGTGTCCCTGGATTTCCCAATGTGTCCTTGTATGTCCCTGGATGTCCCTAGATGTCCCTAGGTGTCCCTGGATGTCCCTGGATGTCCTTTGATGTCCTTGGATGTCCCTGCATGTCCTTTGATGTCTCTATTTGTCCTTGGATGTCCTCTGGATGCGCGCCTCGGACATGCCACCCTTGAAATTCCTCGGGTCCGTTCGAAATCAAAGGCTCGTGCGTTCAAGTTGTGGGGGATCTTATTTGAAAATAAATGCGAATACAATGCGTTTGCACCACTTTTTCTGATTCCTACACTGTTCGATCGACTGCTCCATACGATGGCGACCTATTCTGGTCTGGGCTTCGCTGATCTCCTCGTCGTTTGCCGAGTCATATGTGCTGTTCATCTCACAGCAAGAGAAACTCATGCCACTCCTCCTCTTCTGAAGATGCGCTTCTGCTGCTGCTACTGCTGCTGCTGCCCCTTCTCCTTCTCTTGAATATCCCCCCCCCCCCTCAGAGTGCCGATCACTCAAATCCTTTGCCATGCAATGCCCCCGCTGGCCCGTCCGAAAAGCAGCTCATCGCGCCGCGCACGGAAGTCTGGCGGTAGACTGCGATGCCGGGCGGCATGTTTATACGTTTTTTTGGCGGGGCATCGGGGCGGGTTCTCGACTCTACAAACGACGGGGCGTAGACACAGAAGTCGCTCGATTTCATCGTTCTGTTAATGCCTATCTCGAAGCTCGACGCGACGGTCGATACGATTCGATACCAAATTCGAAATTCTTGCCCGCGCCCATGACACAAACAAAACAGCACGACAAATCCGCAGTGCAACTGTTACTGCACACTACATTTTTTGGAGCCATTATCCATCTTAGCTTTTGTTTGAGCAGCTGTTTCTGATGTTGCTGCACATTTGTGTGGGTTTCCTATGGGTTTCGTGGTGTTCGCACGTGTTATCATGGTGGTCTTCTCTAATTGGCACTAGCCACGCCTTGTTTTGTCTACGTTTTCCCAAGTTCCTGATGTGTTCAATAGGGTTTCATGAGTTTCATTACGTTTCGTTGAGTTTCCACAAGTTTGCACAGAGGGTGATGTTGTCCTTACGTGTCCTTACTTGTCCTTCGATGTCCCTGGATGTCCCTAGATGTCCCTAGATGTCCCGGGATGTCCCTAGATGTCCCTGGATGTCCGCGTTTGATGTCCCTGGATGCCCCTAGATGTCCCTGGATGTCCCTGGATGTCCCTGGATGTCCCTGGATGTCCCTGGATGTCCCTGGATGTCCCTGGATGTCCCTAGATGTCCCTAGATGTCCCTAGATGTCCCTGCATGTCCCTGCATGTCCCCGGATGTCCCTGGATGTCCCTAGATGTCCCTGGATGTCCCTGTTTGTCTCTGGTTTCTCTGTTTTGCCCGGTGATACCATGTCCCTGTGTGTCCTTGATGTCCGCGATTTTCTTTGTTTGTCCCTGGATATGTCCTCAGATCTGTCCCCGGATATGATGATGTCCTGTTCTTCTTCATGTCCTTTTTTGTTGTTGTGTTTTTCTTCCGTAATTGGTTGACAAACCCGTTGTCTGGTCGTGTTATGTGGCCCCTAAGAAACATCATCTTGTCGGCGTGCAAGATTTAGCCATCGAGGGCAACACCCGCCGACGACATCAGCGGCCCAACAAGGCTCCAAATTGAGGACATGTGAATGCTTGCGCGGCCCAAATCGGCGGACATCGCTTCATGCTCAGCCAGAAATTCGTGGACATCAGGCCCGACAGGGCCCGCAACCGCGGACATCTGCTTGTTTTTGCAAAAACACGTCATGAAAACTCAAAGAATTCATTCCTCGATTTCTAAAGGAATTTTGCTGTCGGGGCCAAAAGCGTGGACATCAGACATACGCTGCAGCCCGAAAGTGCGGACATCGTACCCCGTCGAGGCGCCAGAACGCGGACATCGCGCATCGCCGCGCCGAAATCCAGAAACGCGCCCCGCGATCCTGAACCTTCCACGCCGGCCACGAGGATACCATGGATACCGCGGAGGCGTTCCCTTCTGGATTCTCTTATTTTCTTCTCCCGTCGAAATGACATTCCATACGTATATTTGAATTACACGGTATCTTTGGATACATTAAATATACTTCCTTGCATTTCTGGAATTCCTCCTTCACCAACCAAAAACACAAAATTGTCCATCGTAACCTAGAGATTCTTTCAAGAACCCTGATATTCACGTGATATCATGGTATTATTTATGGACCAGCCATATATCAACGAAACAAGTGTGCTTTCTCATTGTCTCCCAAACACGTTCATGAATTCCAAAACAAGTCTCTGTGTACGTGCATTGTCTGACTTCTCGTGGATGCATTTGAAAACGGTGCAACCCCACACCATAAGGTTACTTATATGTGGTGTTTGCACACGCGCATGCCGCAACGCACGCGGTGATGACACATGCGCGTGTCATACCTTACTTCTCTGTAGCGGCATGTTGCGTTTATGTGTGCGACGCAGCAATGGAGACACGCATGTTCAGCAACACTCAAGTTTCCCTTGCAATACCAGCACGCAGGGTATTAGTGCATGCGTCTAACCAGATGAATCTTGTAGGTTCCATGCTGGCTTCCTCCCCATTTAGTGCGGGAGCATTTTGTGGCGAATGTTGTGTCGCATTTGGTTTGAGACGAAGGGCGCACACATGCACATTAACTATCTCTATGCGTTGCATTGGCCTTCGGCATGATGTAGATACATATGTAACTAAGAGAGCTTTCTTGTGTCGTACCCGGTGGCTAATGTATTGAATATTCGATGGTTTCTCATTTTTCATTCAATGGTTTCTGCCCGATGCACCCTCCAACATCTCGTGCCAGATGCTGCGTTTTCTCGAACAGCGTCAGGCCGCCGAATTCTAGACCAAACCCCAATGCGAATTCGGCCCCTACGCGCGTCGTCTGTCATCATCGTCGTCGTCGTCATCGTCGTCGTCTTCAATGTCGTCGGCCTTTCCGTTCTGTCAGCCGTCTGTCCACCGCGCTCTGTCGCGCGCGGCGCCTGTGTCTGAAACGATGGCCAACCGAGGAGAAGGGAAAGTAAGAAGGGGAAATAGAAGGATAGGAGAGGGAACAAGAGAAAAGGAAAGAAGGAAGGGAAAACCGACGAACAGGAGGAAGCGACGGACGCCGAGGATAATGAGGATAATTGTGCTTCAGGAAAGGAAGTGGAGGAACACTTGGATAAAGAAATTTAGAAATAATAAGGGAACGAGGAGAAGGCAGCTTTAGATTGATCCCTGGCCATATTTTGTATCCTTCCCTTGCGTTCCTCTTCTTGAAGATCGAACATGTTCCTCATGTTCTCCTTGCCCATCGTTGCCTTCAACCACATCCAACCATCGGCAACTTCACAAGGGACAAACAGGGACACCAGGGACATCTAAGGACATCCGAGAACATTTAAGGACATTCGAGGACATAAACGGACAAACACGGACATGAGTTACCAACCACACCAGCCACGCGGATAGTACGGAAGGTGGAGGCCCAGGGCTCCTCCTCCTCTCCTTCCTCCGCCTCCTCCTCCTCCTCCTCCTCCTCCTCCTCCTCCTCATCCTCCTCCTTCTTCTCTTCTCTTCCTCCTCCTCCTCCTCCTCCTCCTCCTCCTCCTCCTCCTCCTCGCGGCCTGCCAGGGCGCCCCGGCCTTCGCCTCGCCGCTGCACCTGCGCGCGGCGGAGGCGCTGCTGCGGGGCGGGGCGTGCCCGGTCGCGGGTGACGCCCTCGAGCTCTCGCCGCTGGCCTACGCGGCAGAGGGCGGCCTGCGCCGGAAGCTCAGCAGGGCCGAGAGGTTTCGTTCGGGTAAAAATCGGGGGAGGAGGACTTCGGAGGAGGAGGAGGAGAAGGAGGAGAACGAGGAGCAGGAGGAGGAGGAGGAGGAGGAGGAGGAGGCGGAGGAGGGTCGGGGGCGGAAAAGAGGGGGGTAATGACTAGGGGGTGTGGATATCACGGCGGGGGCCATGATATTTCCCCCCATTTCATGGCGCCTCTTCTTGTTTCATTACGTCCCTGGCCCCCCCGCTGGGCCGCGCACGTGCCGCCACTCATGATTTGCACCCCCCCCTCTTGGACACCCCCCTCTTGGCCGCTCCCGAAAGAACAAGGTACCCGTACGGCTACCCTTCTGCGTTTTTCCCCTTGCGGGGCTCCCTTGTGAGGCCCTCGTCGCCACCGCTGGATTCGCCTCGAAATCCTGGTCAGAAGGCACCCTTGGAGAGGTCCGGAGAGTAGCGGTATCGGCACCGATCGGTTTGCCCAGCTAAGCCCTGCTGGGATGACCGCGGGGGCTGCTGAAGGGGATCTAAGGGGTTTACAAGCGGATGCCTCGGTCGTTCTATCTGGCCCAACCTGGCTCACAAGGGCCACCCACCATTGGTCAGACAGCTCCGCCAAGTGGGCCCGCGGTCATCCCAGTGAGATCCTGGCGAGCGAGCGAGCGAGCGTGCCTTGCACCCCAGACGAGCGCAAGGCTGTCGCAGGATGCCTTCCGCAGCCGCTCCAGGCCGCGACGGCCAGACCCCAGTTGCGCACTGCACCGCCCATCAAGGCGTCCCTGGGAACCAGCAGCTTCCAGACAATCACGTAAGACAAGATGCCCCCATGCCTCTCTTGGACGGCCGCGCTTCCTTCGGCTGGTCGGTCTGCGGAGCTCCAAGGTTCCCGCTCAAACACCGAGCATCGCACTGGGTCTGTATCTCACCGAAGGAGAAAGAACCACAAGCTAGGGAGGCTGGCCGCTCCCCCTCCCCGAGCTGGTGGCACCCAGTTCCGAGCGCGCCCCCAGAGAGTGCCCGGCACGGAGTGCCACCAGCTCGGGGGATGGCCTTTGGGAAGGGAGTTCTGTGGAGTTCTGGCGGTAGTGGCTCTTTTTGCTCTCATGAGTATCGGAACTTTGGGCCAGTTGCGCCATGCATAGCATCTGTTTTGGAGCGAGCGCACGCTGAGTTTCTCCTCTCCACACATCTGGAGCACCGTGAAATTGGAGACTCGGCAGATGTACGCAGATGGAACTCGACATTATACGGAGGCATCGTTTCTGAGTATTGTCCACGCGTCACGCCTTCCAGCTTTGTCCAAACATGCAGCAAGTCATACGCATTATCACGCCATGTGTTTCACGCAGG